TATAATTTTGAAAGTATCCTCAGTTTACCTTAAGTGCCCAAAATGTTTGCACAGAACTGGATAAACTTACATGTATGTATAAAATATCTATTACAAATGTTATCCATGACCAAAATCTCACTTTTTAGCAGTATTATTTTTATTACATTATTATATTTTCTTCCACCGTATAGTGGTCAGGTGACTTATTAAGATAATTAGGATTAAGATGCGATAGACACATCTGTCTATCACTGAGAACTGAGGCTGATGTCAGCCTGGATTTCCAGCACTGACAAATGATTCTGATACTGACAGACAGGTTTATATCACATTTAGTAATTATGAAAGCTACAAATCCCCCAAAAGCTATAAAAGCTATATTCATATTCTGCTTATTGTACAGTTTTTACTGGATTTACCTGTAGCTTTGTCCTGTTATAAAAAAGTGTCACTTCATGGTTAATTACCACATTACTGACACCCCTGCACTACAACGCCATTAGAAATACTCGGTAGTGGTTCAAACAATAAACCGTGATGCGCAAAGCATGTGGCATCACTGGAAGCTATCTTGTCTTGTAATTTATTTTTTAACAAACTAAAACCCAAATTAATAGAGCTTTCCTATAAGTACAGTATTGTTCAAAATAATAGCAGTACAATGTGACTAACCAGAATAATCCAGGTTTTTAGTATATTTTTTATTGCTACATGGCAAACAAGTTACCAGTAGGTGCAGTAGATTCTCAGAAAGCAAACAAGACCCAGCATTCATGATATGCACGCTCTTAAGGCTGTGCAATTGGGCAATTAGTTGAAAGGGGTGTGTTAAAAAAATAGCAGTGTGGCATTCAATCAGTGAGGTCATCAATTTTGTGAAATAACAGGTGTGAATCAGGTGGCCCCTATTTAAGGATGAAGCCAGCACTTGTTGAACATGCATTTGAAAGCCTGAGGAAAATGGGTCGTTCAAGACATTGTTCAGAAGAACAGCGTACTTTGATTAAAAAGTTGATTGGAGAGGGGAAAACCTATAAAGAGGTGCAAAAAATTATAGGCTGTTCAGCTAAAATGATCTCCAATGCCTTAAAATGGAGAGCAAAACCAGAGAGACGTGGAAGAAAACGGAAGACAACCATCAAAATGGATCGAAGAATAACCAGAATGGCAAAGGCCCAGCCAATGATCAGCTCCAGGATGATCAAAGACAGTCTGGAGTTACCTGTAAGTACTGTGACAGTTAGAAGACGTCTGTGTGAAGCTAATCTATTTTCAAGAATCCCCCGCAAAGTCCCTCTGTTAAAAAAAAGGCACGTGCAGAAGAGGTTACAATTTGCCAAAGAACACATCAACTGGCCTAAAGAGAAATGGAGGAACATTTTGTGGACTGATGAGAGTAAAATTGTTCTTTTTGGGTCCAAGGGCCACAGACAGTTTGTGAGATGACCCCCAAACTCTGAATTCAAGCCACAGTGAAGACAGTGAAGCATGGTGGTGCAAGCATCATGATATGGGCATGTTTCTCCTACTATGGTGTTGGGCCTATTTATCGCATACCAGGGATCATGGATCAGTTTGCATATGTCAAAATACTTGAAGAGGTCATGTTGCCTTATGCTGAAGAGGACATGCCCTTGAAATGGTTGTTTCAACAAGACAATGACCCCAAACACACTAGTAAACGAGCAAAGTCTTGGTTCCAAACCAACAAAATTAATGTTATGGAGTGGCCAGCCCAATCCCCGGACCTTAATCCAATCTAGAACTTGTGGGGTGATATCAAAAATGCTGTTTCTGAAGCAAAACCAAGAAATGTAAATGAATTGTGGAATGTTGTTAAAGAATCATGGAGTGTAATAACAGCTGAAAGGTGCCACAAGTTGGTTGACTCCATGCCACACAGATGTGAAGCAGTTATAACAAACTGTGGTCATACAACTAAATATTAGTTTAGTGATTCACAGGATTGCTAAATCCTAGAAACAAAAACGTTTGTACAACATAGTTTTGTGTTTGTACAGTCAACGGCAGACACTGCTATTTTTTTGAACACACCCCTTTCAACTAATTGCCCAATTGCACAGCCTTAAGAGCGCGCATATCATGAATGCTGGGTCTTGTTTGCTTTCTGAGAATCTACTGCACCTACTGGTAACTTGTTTGCCATGTAGCAATAAAAAATATACTAAAAACCTGGATTATTCTGGTTAGTCACATTGTACTGCTATTATTTTGAGCAATACTGTAACTGCTTATTTATTGTAAACATAATTCTGGTTTTTCTTTCCCACTTTCAGAATCGACTTTATTAGTCAGGTGTGTCAGACACACATGTATGTATTTACCAGATTTTTTGGCTTTCTTCTCTTGGACAAATTTCTCTTGCTCCTTTTGGAAGTCTCCTAGAAAAGTCTGCAAGTACACAAGTGTAACACACACACACACACATAGATGTACATGTTAAATGGGGGATTAGGTGGCAACATTTGCCAGTGGTTATGATAATGTTGTGTCACATTGAGCAAATTTGTGTCCATGAAATCAAAAAACAGAACCTCTGTAATCGCACAATAAGCAACATGCCTTGTCTATGATGCCATCAATTTTTCCTTCTTCCACAGTCTTCTTGATGGTCTGAGCGGTCTCTACCACTGACTCTGAGATCTTCTTGGTGGCACTGGAGGCAAAACTGAAGATGTATTCTTCAGATCGAGGAGGAAGAGGAAACGATAGTGTGGTTAACAACAGCTTCATATTGTGGGACTGTTGTGGGATACAAACGCCATCACTGGAGCAATCGGTTAGCATCTTAGAGAGTTCATAATAAACATATTAGTCAAATCATTTTTCAAGCTTTTTCTGAGTTAGCAGGAAGTCAAATACAAGATATACCTATCTGGGGTAGCCAACTGTGAATAGGTAGTTTTTATTCAATTTGTTTGCAGATGTTCTGCAACATTTTGCGTCTTTTTATGGTTGCTGCTCATCATTTTGCAGGTGTTTCTGCACATTTCTTTGTGAACATCTGCGTCTTCTTGTGGTAATTTTGTGTCTCTTTGTAGCTGTTTTGAGTCACCTTTCATTTCTCTGAGGACATTTTACATTTCACTGTGTACATATGTTTTATGTCTCTTCATCATTTTGCATTTCTGTGGTGATTTCACATCCCTTTGCGGTTGTTTAGGATCTTATTTTTTCTCTTTCTTGGACATTTTTCAGGGAAAGACCAAGGGTCCCGTAGCTTTCTGGGTCCCTGGGCTTGTGCCCAGTAGGCCCAATACAGTAATCCATCCATAACACCCAGACAAACCAAATGTGTCAACTCAGATATCCTCATGTTGGCATTGGACAACACATCTAAAAACAAAACCGTTACGTACAAGAGAAACGAAGAATAGGGTGGGGAAACCTTTCATCATGAACTAACATAACGTCACATTCAGCTAATTTAATAGGCATATGAGGAGTTAGCATAAACTTTAACGTTACCCTGCTGAGTAGGCAACCAGATCCTCGAGCTGCAGAGAAATGGATTTGCTCGTTACCTAGCTTGACAATCGCAGTCACAGCATGGAAAATAATAAGAAAAACAGTTCCTTCTTACCACCCAGTCCTTTGCTCTGCTCAGAGTTTTCCTGGTTAGCCGATGGTTCTCCGTCCTGCTCAGCTGGTTGCTGTTTGTTTACCTCGTTTTGTGCTTCTACTACCTTTTCTTCCTGCTCAGCGTTCGGATTTTCTTTGTCATCCGACGTCCTTGTGTACGTCTGGTTCTCTAAACCCAACCACGTCCCTAAACTTTTGAACATATTGGCCGCAGTGAAATAACTCTTTAGCTTTAAAAATCTGAATAACAATAAACTGAAGAGTGGGTGGTTCTTTACTTCGTGCAACCAGGAACTATAACTACAGCATTTAATGCGTCTTCTTCGTCTTCTTCTTATGATGTTTATTGACGGTTTGCAAGCCAACTTAGGGTTCATTACCGCTACCTGCTGGGCTGGCGTGTGGAACAACAATAAGCGACAGCACTTCTTCTTCCCTGATTGCTTTTGTGTAATTAAGGTTGTGTCACTGCCACCTAGTGGTCCAAAGGTAGAAATGATGCCTTCGGGCTGCGCTGGGTCAATGAGTAAACCAGTTTGTAGGTTTTCAGTGGTCACAAATGTAAATTCCTGCTACATATTCTGTGCTTTGGTATTTGTACTTCGAGATAGTAACCAAACATTGTATTACACATTCATAACAAACCCTACACACTTAAAAAAAAAAAAAGTTAACATTGTATATATATGTATGTATCAGTCTCAATTATATGGGTATGTGGAGGATAACAGAAACAACTGTGATAATAATAATAATAATAATAATAACAGTAAGAACAACAACAACAGCAATAATAATACAATAGTTAACAGTTACATTGAAAAAAAACACAGGAAGAACAACCATTTCACCAGCAGGTGGCGGTAATGAAATTAGAATTGTTGCACATTGTGTAACACAAGCCGAGGAAAATAGACCGGTGGATTCATATCAGGCAAGTTGATCACATTTTAATAATAATATCACGTATTTGTGTCTTTTAGTTTGGGGTATGATCTAGTACATATATGTTGTAAACTCTGTTATTCTTCCTGAGCAAAATCTGAATTACGAGAGTTACAGCATTAATGTAAGGATTAGCCGCTCTGCTAGGCCGTTTTAAAGACAACGCTACAGCAGACTCCATGTAGAAAAACTGTCATTTGAATCATAGTGAGCTTAAACTTAAACTTTATAGAGAATTGAAAATAACTCGAAACATTTCAGGATCAATGCAGGTGTTCTGGTACAGTCGGCATATAGAGGAAAGCTTTCTGGAATCAGTAAATGCTGGTAGGCTATAAGATAAGTTGTTGACCGTAATAAAATGATGCAAGGACTGATATAAAGTATAACAAATTGCATCTATTAAACCAACCATAATATCAGGACTAGACTGAGCACACCTGATACATACTGGCTTAATACAAATTTAAAACGGGGGAAAACTATACAAGGTTGTATTTTAGGTCCAAAATAACAATTACACATCCTAACCAGGCTGCACAGTGTTTTTCATATGAAACTGCTGCCTTTTTCTAGGTTAAAAAAAATGAAGACTCTGATTGTGTTTGATTTTGACCACACAATGGTTGATGACAACAGTGATACCTGGGTGGTCAGGTAAATAACATGTTAATAAATTATAAACTATGGGTTTTACTGCTGTAAAATGTATTAAAAATTATGCAGGTGGTGCAGGACGGATGCAGTATAAAATTTTTATATTTAAATTACAAGCATCATCACCATTTTCCCCAGTGAATCTTTTCATTTATTGTGTTCTCAGGTGTCTTCCAGGTCAAACTCTTCCTGACTCTGTGAAGAATTCCTACAGAAAAGGCCAGTGGACTGAATTCATGGGAAGAGTAATGACCTACATAGGTGAAAATGAATGATCCTTTTTGTAGGCCAAATAGTCATTCATATGTGCATAGAGCAGCACACAGTATTTGGATGATACAATTTTATTGCTTACACTAAAACCTGGTCATTCTTCAGTCCTTTGACCCTTTTCCCTAATTGTTCAGGAGACCTGGAGATCAGCCCCGACAGGATTCGACATGTGATGGAGACCATCCCCTTCACAGCTGGAATGACAGACTTGCTGACATTCATATCAGAGAATAAAAGCACCATTGATTGCATAGTCATCTCTGACTCCAACACCATGTTTATAGACTGGATCCTTTGTGCTGCTGGACTCCGAGTGGCTGTTGACCAGGTTTTCACCAACCCAGCTAAGTTCAATGAGCACGGGTACATGGAGGTACAGTGCTACCACTCTCATGACTGTGATCAATGCCCTGTCAACCTTTGTAAGAAAAAGGTCCTGGAGCTTTACCTGTCAAAACAGTCTGACGCAGATGTAGAGTATGAGCAAATATTTTATGTGGGAGATGGTGGGAATGATCTCTGCCCTACTACCTGTCTGAGAGGGCATGATGTCGTGATGCCCAGGAAGGGATACACCCTGGAGAAACTGCTGGCCAAAGTGCAAGGTCAGGAAGATAGCACTTCTTTGAGAGCTAGAGTTGTTGTCTGGAGCAGCGGCACTGACATCCTCCATGAACTTAAAGCAGCTATGCAGTCATAGCCAGGGCCCATGGAAAACAATACTTGACTGAGTGCACAAATGTAACTGACGTATTGCACTTGTGTGTTGGTGCTCCCAAGACAATATAATTTTGTCAAGTTTTTATGATAAAATTGCTTCTATTTAGTTAAAATGCTTGAAAATTGATAATTTGTCTCTAGGAAATTTTAACTTCACCTTTGAAAACAGTGACCTCAGTCTCAAATGAGGTTTGACTCAGGCATAATGAAGGATTTGTCTTTTATTCAGAGGTGGAGGAGGGGAATGTAGGCATCTGTGCCCATTTATAATACAAATGCAAAAACAATGTGTGTGAAGCTTTTGCAGAACATGAAAACACTATAAAACATAAAAAAGCATTGATTCATATATAACTGCTATATACTGAATTGGAGTAGGCTTTTTTCACAGTAGACATTTTGACTAGTCAGAGCAGGAACACACAGGTTTTACTAATAACTTGAATAATTGCTCTGTTCAGTACAAGCGTTCCAGCAAAGCGTGCCAGTCAGTTAGCATGCACATTACCAGAACCCTGAAACTGAAGGAGCTCAATGAAAGTCAGCCATCATTCATTTCTTTGTGTCTTTTTCTACTGTGACATGACAAACTGTTTTCTGTGAAGACACTTTCCTAAGTTTATTATAATATAACTAATAAATATATTTTTGATCAAGGCTGTAGCCACCATCTATACAAACTTACCTCAGCTCCCCTACAAGCTAAATAAGATTATAGAAATTCAGCAGTATTTTCACATGAAACATTTCTGTAATTCCTAGATATTGCTATCTAGTGTATCTGGCCAAATAAGTTGTTCACACTATGTCAGAGTTGTTTATTGTCACCTAATTTTACAAATTAATTTCCAGACTGTGTGTGTATGTGTATACATATTGCTTGTTGAGAGCCGCTGTACCAGTCAAATTCCTCGTGTGTCCAACACACCTGGCCAATAAAACTGATTCTGAATGAAACTACACCACTTAGAACAGGACAGCAGCCTTTGGACTTATAATACAAGTTCAGTATTTTGACGTCTGGCACAGAGCACCTTTCTATGGCTGTGGATCTACACATTAGGTCGGATATTTGGATGCCTTGTTTGGACTTACGTATTTGTGACATACACCCATGAAACACAGAGACGTGCCAAGAGCGTCTAATTGAGGTGTGTGTGAAAAAGTGGTCCACTGAATAGCCAGAATGGACTTTTTTGTGATGTCCATCAGACATCTTCACAAGGTTCAAAATGAAAGATTATGCGACTCAAACATTGGCATATGCTTGGATGTCTACTGACCTTCAGTGTAGGTCCCCAGTAGATGTGCATATATGGAACCTATGCTGGGTGCCAGTGGATGTTTAAATTAAGTCAGGTTTAGACATGCAGACATTTAACAAATTTTGAACATCTGAGGATATCCTAAACAGGTCCAAAATATATGCCAGTGTTTTGAGTATGTTTTGGATGTCTGCTGACCTCCAAAAAAGCCCCCTAAAAGACGTTTAGATATTGAACATCTATTGGAAATCAGTGGATGTCCTAGGTCTTCACTTTGGAGTCAGGTTAATATTTGCAAGGAGCACGTGTCACATTAGCTGATTTGCTGAATAGCATTGCCACAAACATTCAACTAACTTTCTAGCTATTTTGCAAATGTATGTTGTTGTAACATTAGTCGTACCCCATTTGCTACTACTGTTGTGTTAATGCATGTTCATGAATTCTGGGGGGGCATGGTTTCAAAACCCTAAGTGAAGGGAGTTGTCAATTTGTTTAGGTGTTACCTTGTTTCTTGTACCTCACAGCAAGTATGGTAAAAGGTTCTTCACCACATTTCTGTAACACATGGTAACATTTTAGAAGTGTGGTGAAAATGTCTATTGAATGATCAAATATACAAAGGATGTCCAAAAATTCTGGCTCCTCAGTGGGCCACTTTTCAACGTCTAACTCAGACCTCAATTATATGTCTTTAGGACATCTTTGTGTTTGCTGGGTCACCTTAATTAAGGGAGGATTTATTGCGGGTCTGTTGTATTAGACTCCATTAGTTTTAACTACGTAGGTACATGTGAAGCTATCGATCAACCCTTATTTGTTTCTATTGAATGGCATTAACCTCAAATGATTGTTTAAGCTAAATGAACAAACAGTCTGGATCATTTTTAAATCCACAATAGGCTTCAGGTTATACATTTCCCAAGTAAATCAGAGTGAACCAGACGTACAGTAAAATCTAGAAATGCTCTTTATTTTACATCTGTGAGTGGTTCACACAATTGACAAGGTTCCAGGTTTTATTGAGTAATTTTATTTGGATAAGTAAGAACCTATAGTATTGGAATAGTGCTGTACATATTGATTACCTAGGCAGAGTATTGGGTTTTGATATGCCACTTTAAAACTTGCAAGAAAGCATAAATGTTCACTGAGAGGTTTTGTTGACACTGTCATGATGCAGCATATTAAAATAGTATTTGTTTATTCTTGATCATGTAATTCTAGTGATGCAATTAAAACCATAAACAAATTGGATCCATTTTTAAAAATTCATTTCATTTTTTGTACTTGCCACTGAGTGACCAAAGAAAAAGAAACCCTTATAGACTGCAATACACTGTAATCTGAAACTGATAATGTAAACAACATTATGAATTTACTCTTCATTTAGAAGAAGCTTTGGATGAGGCTAGCTGTATAAAAGTGAGGGTGACAAACTGGGATACACCTCTTGAAAGTTCACCATCCAATCTAAACAAACAAAAATAGGGTCTATTTAATATTAGGCAGTATCACTGTAGCTATAAATGGTGGACTTCACACATGAGTGACATGGTAGGTATAGGTTGTACTTTACACCAGGCTGGTCTGGTGAGACTGGAGAGGTAACAGAGGAAGATGCAGAGGTGAGTGTAGATGACATAGTGTAGGTAAGTACTTAAGGTAAAGTGAAGAAAGCAGCAGTTCAGGATAAATGATTTGGCAGCGTTCCACAAAATGGTGAAGTATGGTAAGAAACAAGACACTCAGGTGTGGTCCCACAGACAGTGAGCACAGAACCACATACTGTAGGTATAACAATAACATGAGGCACTCATATTTTGTTTACAGGAGGTAACATTCATTCATTAGGTGTAGAGGAATCCAAAAAATAGGTGGCAGAAGAAAACACACAAACTATAACAATCTTCTCTGTGTGTGCATGTTAGCAAATCAACTGAGCTTTTTTTTTTAAGACATGAGAGGCTAACTGGAAATTGGCTGGTGACAACAGGTAGGTTAAATATCCATCAGTTTGCTAGCTGGGACCTGCCCTCACTATGAAAGGATAGTGATGGGGAATGCTTGTGAACCTGAGATGCTTGTGAACTTATGGTTTTGGGGAAAAGGTTATAGAGATCTGCGGTGCACTGGCAGACCCCCAAAGCCTTAATGAACTAGAGCTGCCTGGATTTGTTGAATGTCTCGAGGCTTGGATCTGATGTATAGAAGGAATGCCTGGGAATATGGAGATAAAATACTATGCAACACAACTGAGGTGCAGAATCCCGCAGGTCGAGAGAACAGAAGAGAGAAAGGCGGAAGAGAGGCAGGTCGCACCAAGCGGACCTGACAAGTTCAGTGGAAAAGATATCAAATCCCGTGGCCCATGTTAACCATGTCCACTCACTTCGATGGATGATACTCAAGTATGGTGTTGTTTAGGAAATTATAAAACTAAAACTTACTCCACAGTGAATTTGATGTTTTAAAATAGCTGTCATAATACAAGAGGCAATATTGTCATTTTAGCAAAGAGTGTAGTGTGGGTGACTTTAGAACATACCGCTGTCTCTGAGCATGCTAATAGTATTATTAATAATTTTCTAATGTGTTATAATTAGCATTATAGCAAAAGCTAGCTGATATCTAGTAGAGAAACCAGCACCACAAATGAGGCATGTATCACCATAACTAATCTATTATGCATTAATTGCTAATATTTAAGGAGCAACCCTTGCTTTCATCAGGAAACTGTCTCATTTGCACACCCAACTGAAGAATGGGGTAAGAGCTCTTGTAGGGCACAACGATAATTTACATCCCTTTTTTTCTGATACTTCACACAATTTCCAAAACACAACATTGCATAATAGAAAGTCCCAAAGATGACCTCATTACACATGCAGAATAAATGTAATCTGTCACAATCAAAATGTTAATGAGAATCCAAACCTATAAGGACTGTCATTTGCTAGGATTGTTTGTTTTATTTTGTTGCTTTCGCACTGAGTTGGACTTAGTAGCAGCACACACAGACTACAGGATCACCCAGAAGATCCCAGGATCTTGATTTTCATGATGTGAGTCACCCCATGAAGCTGCTGGATGCCCTGTGAGGCTTCTACTCTGAAGGCCTGCTCACGGGCCGTGCCATGTAGTGATCCTATATAAAGTCCAGCCCTGCCAAAACATGGTGCTGTGTGCACACAGCTTATACATCAGGAACATGTTCACTACTGATAAGAGGGAGAGGTCCAATAGCATTGCCTGGTATGCATGAGTATGTGAGATAAAGGCAGAGGAAGGAGCCAACATGGATGGATTATGCCAATTAAAAAAACTACAGCACTTGTATTTGATGACCCACAACTATCTGCAGGAAATCAACATAGACCCACTTTGTACATCTGCATCAAGGACCAACCAAGTGTCTATCTTGTCTCACTGTGCAAGAAATGCTAAATATTGAAGGACACTCTTGGATGCAGATCAGTGTGGGTGACTGGCCAAAAAGATCTTAAGGGAATACTGAACGAATGAATAAGAAATATTAACTCATGACATGATAATAATAACAGCACAGACATAGGTGCATATTGTGGCTTACAGCACTGTACTTGCCCTGCTGGCATGAGTTTGTCAGTGGAGGACATACTGAAAATGTAACTGTTTACTGATTTAAAAGGCACCCATTCAAATGGACAGCCTTGGCCCATGTATGTACTTGTTTACACAGCTCTTTTCCATAGACAGTGTGTACCCTTTTCAAAACAAAGATATAAAGTGCTTTTCATGGTGTAAAACAGGATTAAACCACGAAGAACTGGAATTAGGCAGTTAAATTAGACATTAAAATGAGATTGAAAAAGGTAAAATAGTCCATGTATTGGATAAACAATAAAACCAAAGTAAAAAATGGACATAAAAACAATATGCTACTAGCTGATTTTAACACTGCATCACCAGTTGGACTCTCATCTGAAGTTTATATTAATCCCATTCAAAATTCAATATGGTCTGGCAGACGGGAGGGTGTAGACTCTGTCTTATCCTGGTAATCGACATTTTACACTCCCCTCCCCTCTTTGCATTTGCTTTTCATGTCACTGAATATTTTTCCATTGTCAGTAAGGTGAGGCTCTACAAAGACATTTTGCACATGCTGATAAAAACCCCGGCTCTCTTCGTTAGGATATAATGAATCATATTGTCTTATTGAATCCTCTCTTTTTCTGAACTGTTGTTGCTAAAGTCACTCTATTCCCCGTTGAAGTTTCCTAAGTAATTTATTTTCAGAAAGGCTAACTTGTCTGTAGTTTTTTGGAGGTGATTAAGGAAGGTGTTTAAGCACTTTGGTCAGCTTCGGCTGTGTTAAATGTGCTATATAAATAAAGTTGATGATGATGATGATGAAGAGGAAATTCTGGCCCTGGATCCTGACAGCCTGAAGACTGTCCTAGCAGGGGAGAAACAGGAAGCGGTACTGGAGGCAGTGGATGGTTTGGGTGGCTGAGTCATGACACTCACACCCTCACATGTGAAATACTGTATATTAAAGGAGTCGCCCATAGTA